GCCACAAGCCGACCAATCTCCCAAGCATCCCTGGCTACCTGGGCCCGCGCGCAGGGCCGGGTCTTTCTCCCCCCTGCCCAGGTGACCAGCGCATCCGTCTCCCAGGGCCCAGGCTTTTGTCATGTAGACAAGGTGGGAGATCCCCGCCCTCTCAGGCTGGCAGAGACAGGTCTCTGGAGAGGGGCACAGACGGTGGCATTTCTGCCACAACTCGAACCCGGGACCCTCAGGCCGGGCCGGGGGTGCTGGGTCAGGGCACTTAGGGAGGGGTGTGGGGCAGTGGGGTTGCCTCCCCCAGGCCACTCCCGCCGGGCTGAGGGGCAGGAGGGGCTGACTGGGCATTGGGGGCTGCCCGCCCCAGCTCAGTTTCAGCCCCGCTTCATGTCCCCCGTGTTATTCGTCCCTGTGCGCACGCAGAGGGGCCGGGTGTCTGGGACACAGCATGCACATGGGAAACCCACATGGTACCCGGGCACCTGCCCCACCCCCCAGGCCCACAGGACCCAGGTGGTGGCTCCGGCCCTGCCAAGACCCCAGAACCCCCCAGAAGGGAGCAACACTGCACATACGGATGTCAGCGCACACGTGTGCACATGCACAAAGAACCCAGGTGCCCGGAACACACACACACACACACACACACACACACACACACACACACACACACACGGTGTGTAGGATCATGCACGCACGTGCATCCACAAGCACCTCCCAGGCATCCAGAGCACACACGCATGCACACATGGGTGCACACACACAGAAGCACTGAGCCCAGGTGCCCGCCTGCCCTACTGCCCCTGCCCCAAGCTCTTGCCCTGCAAAGACTTTTGCTTTCTGCCCTGCACGCCCAGGGCCCTCCCTGTGCCCCCTGCGCCTGGGGTGTGCCTGAGACATTTGCCCCACTAGACCCGTGCTCCCTGCCCGGGGAAGAGCCAGAGATTGCGGCTGGGGGAGGTATATTCTCAGGATCGGACCCAGTTGCTCTCACTCCATCCCGGCTGCCAGGCCTCTGCTCTCAGTCCCCAGTCTGCACCCCCACCCCTTCCCGAGAGCCCAGGCGTCCTGGCGGATGCAGAATTAACCTTGGCTTTATGCCCACTTTATGGAAATGGGAGACTCAGTAGCCGGATCGGCCCTGTCCAACCCGTCCCAGACAACCCCGCATCCCAGCCCCACATGAGATGGCCATCAGCCCCGGCAGCACAGACCGCACACCCACCTGCCCCAGGGAAAGCAGGGGGACCGCGGCACCAGAGTCCTGGTTCACTGCAAAGGGGTCAAGGGACGCTCACGAGAGCCCCAGTCTGAACCAGTCTGGCCAATGGGGGGAAATCCTTTCCTGACCCCGAATCTGACGTGGGTCTGATCCTGAGTGGAGGGGCAAGGCCCTCCATCCATGACCCTCCTGGGAGAGGGGTCTGCGATCCACACTCCCGCCCAGCCATCCCTTGCCCCCCGCCCGCCCCCGCTTCCCTCCCTGCGCCCGGAGCTGCAGCAGAGACAGGAGCAGGAGCCCCCGGGGGCCACAGGAGCCGAGCAGCTCCCGGGGCAGCTGCAGCACCCCTGCCCAGAGCTGGGCACTAGCTGGCCGGGGCCAGGGCCAGGGCCCTCCAGCACACAAGGGTGGGAGTGCAGCCACTGCCCCAGGGGAAGGGGTCAGGCTCACAGGGAAGAAGTGTTCCCAGATCTCCAATCCAGATCAACTTTGCTGCAAGTTCAAGCCACGGGTCTGAATCATCCTCTCGGCAGTAGTGGAGAGAAGGTGCCTTCCCTCTTCTTGATGGCAACCCTTCCCATGGCTGAAGGCGGCTCCCGTGTGCCCTCGTCAGGGCTTCCTCCACAGCCCCTGGACCAAGCTCTGAGCAAAGCAACGCTGCAACCCCTGACACGATGCAACATGACACTGAACCCACACACAAGGGAAGCAGGGCTTGCATCTGCCTCGCAAGTGCCCTCAGGGACATCCCCGGTGTATGGAAGGGCCTGGGGCATGGAAAGCCACGGCCTGGTATGGACACGTGTGCCCTGGCACAGGGGCAGACATCATTGCAAGGCTTTGGGTGCAGCTCCGTGTCCACCCTGGGGCACCGGTACCCTCCCCCGTCACTGCCGGGCAGGTGTTGCTGCTCCCTGTGGACTCTGCTCTGCTGCTCCCCAGGGAAAGTGAAACCACTGGGGACTTTGCCCGGCTGCAGAAGGAAGCAGAACAGACACGGACTCGGATCCATGGGGCTGGGGGCTCTCATCGTCCTCCTCCTCCCCTCCCTCTTCATCAGGAGAGCCAGTAAGTCCAAACCTCCGTGCATCTCAGCCCCAGGGCTCATGGGGCCATTGCACAGACAGGTCCATCCCCCCCTGCCTACCCCAGTCACCCCGTGAGGCACCCGCAGAGCTGGAGCAGAGCCCAGATGTCCACAGACCCAGCCCAGGCATGGGCCAGAGCCCCCCAGACCCTCCCCAATGCACCCACTTCCCTCCGCCACTCCTGCTGGGAGTTCACACCAGAACCCCAAGATGAGGCTTTGGCTTGGGGGCCGTGGCCAGTCCCAGATCATGCCCAGCTGGGCCTCACCCCATGAACAGCACTGCAAAGGGAAGCCACAACACCTGCCCATGTCCACAGGGAACATCCAGCTCCAGGCACCCGGGAGGGACCCCATGGGCTGGGGTTGGAGGCTCCAGCAACCACGACACCATGAAGCAGCCAGAGCGCAGCAGGCGCCTGCCCCACCCCACCCCAGCACCAGCTGAGGAGTCCGGGCCAGCGTCTTCCCCTGCATGGCTGTGCACTTCATGGTCTCTGCCTGTCTCTCCCCTCCCTGCAGGCTCCCAGCTGCGGGTGGTGACGGACCCCTCCTCCCAGGCCCTGCTGGGCACCGAGGCCCGGCTGCGGTGCCACTTCGATGTCGGGGGGCCGGTGGCCCTGCGCTCCCTCTGGGTGACCTGGTATCTCTGGGACGAGAAGATCGCGCAGTACGATGAAGGTGGGAGTAGGGCCCAGCCTGGAGCCAGCCTGGTGGAGAAGCAGTTGGAGAAGGGAGATGCCTCCCTGGAGCTGGTCAAAGTCACAGTGGGACACGAGGGGCAGTACACGTGTATCGTGGGCTACGGGGCACAGCAGCAGCAGGGGAGCACCAGCCTGCGCGTGCTCGGTGAGGGCCGGAGAGGGGCCCCGCGTGCGTCCCCGGGTGGCCGTGGGCGCCGGTGGG